CCGGGTGGATTGAACTGCCGACCTTTTGGTTAGTAGTCGAATGCTTAACCACTGTGCCACCAGGGCTCCTGTATAAAATATATATGTCTCTATATACACATAGATAAATTTGGAGATGTAATTGAACCCTAATTCCATTTGTATTTGGCAATATGTGCATGCGTTTGGGTTGTGCTTTTCTACGTCTGGCATAGAAATTAATTTCAAACAGAATTTAAAACACGCAGCATGAATTAATTAGCTACTTGCAACTAGCCACTTTCCACACAATCTTTTAGAGATGATTTTTAATCCTCTGGACTACTGAGGGTTTTACTAAATTGGTGAACCAAAAACCAAACCCATTGCTGTCGAGTCAGTTCTGACTCGTAGTGATACTAAATAGCTGTAAAAGTAAATTAAAACATCTAGAAGGTTACAGTTCATATAGTGTGCATAAAAGTCAACAAAGAGGAGTTTGAGGCTTGTATTCAAGTTAACAATCTTGACAACACATAACCCAGAGTTGATTATAGTCTGTTGTGCCACAGTGTGGGTTTCTTTAATGTGAATTAGCCCATATGCAGTTGGTAAATAGAGAAATGATGTCATTATAACGTGGAAGTAGCACTTGTTCATAGACAATTTTCTCCACAGTGTTAATATATGAAGTGAAATGGGGGCAAACCTTTCATTTAAAGAGGAAAGTTTGGTAATATATGAAGACCTTAGGAAAACCTGAAGTTTATAGAAATCATTTAGTGCAAGAAATAGCTAGTTTAGTGGCTTCCAGAACCAACACTCTTTGCACTTTGCTAAATGCTTTCAAGAAGCTGCAAAAACATTACTCCTGTGTTTCTGAAGAAAGAAAATGATAGTTAAGGCTACTCTGGAATTGTGTTTTTACTTTTTTTTGAGTGGGTCTCAGAAGAAAATGCCTTTAAAAATTTATATTTTAAAGAAGGAAGTACAAAAATAAGACTCCAAAGGGTGGGCCGACTTACTAATGGTACAAATGTTAGTACCAATTTAGTCTTTCATTAAAATTGATGATGTTTTTGTTAGGACATTCATTACAGAGTAACAGGTTTGAGGGCTCTGTGCCCAGGCTTATTTTCACCATTAGCTCTGTTTTTAGTGGGTGATTTTGCAAAACTGTGAGGTTTTTCAGGAACACCCATGTAACGTAGAAGCTTCTAAACGCGCTCTCTCACACATGCGCACACAAATCATTGGGCCATCATTTACTAAATGGACTCATATGATAGAAGTTAATATTGAGCATCAAGATCTGTTAAGTGAGGGAGTCAGTAAAATGAGCTGAGAAGAAGGATGCAAGGCTCCCTTAGCTGTGAATACGGTAATGTTCTGTTTGGCTATTCTAGATTGGGCATCATTGTTCTATGAAGATTTACTTTGTGGTATTCTGAGCATTACAAATTTATAAATGGACATAATAAACTAGAGGTCCGCTTTAGGAGGCCCCTGATTGTCACTTCACGGTACGTACTATCCGGTTGCCTGTTCCTCTTGTGCTAAACCAGGGGTTGGAAGACTGACTATGGCTGATGGTCCAAATCCAGCCACCACCTGTTTTGTTAGTATATTTTGATTGGAGCACACCCATGCCCATTTGCTTATGTAACGTCCGTGGTTGCTTTTGCACTACAACTGCAGAGGTGTGAGTAGTTGTGACACAGTATTGACAGAAAGCTGAAAATATTTACTATCCGGCTTTTTACAGAAAAATATTTGATAACCCTTGCTCTAAACAAATAGGCACACGGACAGTGATGATCAGTATTTTACAATATTTCTAGGTATTCTTTCTTAACTTGCCTTCAGTGAGAATATCACACTTAAAATAATTTTAGGAAAGGAGGAATCAGATCAGTGTGGGCATTGTTGGATTTAAGCCAGTTTTGTGTTGCCTCAGTTTTCTAAGATGGCTGGATACTGTTAACTCTTTCATGGAGTTTACCTGTTAAATTTTTTCGTTCATTGAACGTGATGGTGAGGACACGAGAAATGCAAGAGTAGATTTAGCTATATGTCAAGTTACACGTGTTTTAAGACCAGTGAACAGTTTTATTTGGATTAAAAAAGAGGATTGCTATCTCTATAGTGAGTCCAACATTAGGTTGATGTCGGTCAATTTCTGATGACAAACAGAATGAATTTTTTTTTTTTTTTTTTTTTGGGGGACACTTATTAGGGGTATAGCAAAACATACTTGTTTTTAGGCTTGATATTTGAATATTAAAGTGTTTTGAAGACTGTTTTTTATAAAGTTGTTTGGCTTTGAATGAATAAAATTTCTTCTAAGATGATTTTTAAAAATTATATGCAAGGATTACAGCAAGGAATAATTTTTAATTTTATAATGAAAAGAAATAGAAAATATGATTTGATTAAAAAATCTATAGCAAACTTTAAGAAAATAAGAATGTAGAGGATCTGAATGACATAATTTTTAAATACTGATCCATGGATATTAAATTCTATACACTGAAAAAACATTTTTTTCGCCCCTTAGTAATTATGGAGATTTGAAAAATTAACGCATTTCTGAAAAGAGAGTATAGAACTCTCCGATCTGTTACTAGAAATATAACAAAAACAAAAGCAATCACCTAGGAATTAAATCTAATAAGGAACTCCTGGGTTAAAGCAAAATTCCCGTATGCAACGGAAGAATATTTAGGAAAAACAAAATCTAAGCCACAGTGTATAAAAGTCATACAAGGTTCAGCTTGGCTGCATCCAGAGAAGATACGTATCTTTAAACACTTTCGTTACTAAAGTGAAGACTTCAAGTCACGTGAAAGACTAACCTAGAGTTTTTAGTAGCTGATCTAGTCTAATAAGTCTTTAGGACGTACTAGTATTTCTGTCGGACAACGTTGTTGTTGTTAGGTGCATTGAGTCAGTTCCGACTCATAATGACCCCGTGTACAACAGAACAGAACACTGCCCGGTCCTGTGGCATCCTCACCATTGTTAGGCTTGAGCCCATTGTTGCAACCACTGTGTCAGTCCATATCCTTGAGGGTCCTTCCTCTTCTTCGATGACCCTCTACTTTACCAAGCATGATGTCCTCCAGGGACGAACCCCTTCTGATAACATGTCCAAAGTATGTGAGACATAGTCTCACCATCCTTGCTTCTAAGGAGCATTCTGGTTGTACTTCTTCCAAGAAAGATTTGTTGGTTCTCTGGCAGTCCATGGAATATTCAGTATTCTTCACCAACACCACAATTCTAAGGCAACAGTTCTTCTTCAGTCTTCCTTACTCATTGTCCAGCTTTCACATGTATATGAGGCGATTGAAAACACCATGGCTTGGGTCAGGTGCACCTTAGTCCTCAAGATGACATCTTCGCTTTTCACCCTTCAAAGAGGTTTTTTGCAGATTTGCTCAGTGCAGTGGGTCTTTTGATTTCTTGACTGCTGCTTCCACGGATGTTGATTGTGGATCCCAGTAAAATGAAATCCTTGACAACCTCAATCTTTTCTCCATTTATCGTGATGTTGCGTATTGGTCCAGTTGTGAGGATTTTTGTTTTCTTTATGTTGAGGTATAATCCATACTGAAGGCTGTGGTCTTTGATCTTCATCAGTAAGTGCTTCAAGTCCTCTTCACTTTCGGCAAGCATGTCAGAGATTAGAACCTTAAAAAAAATGATATTAGGGATCCAGGAAATACTTCCTTTTACTGAAAAGCTTATTTTTATATCTTTTTTTCCAAGAATCCATTATTGAATTCTGGAAAAATGGAAGACGTAGTAAAGATCCCAAAGAGAGAAACTTAGGTCATCTTTTTGAAGAGATAGTTGAACCGCAGTCATATCTTAAGAACTCTATGGTGTCGTTATAGATTCAGTTAAAATTATTTTTGTGAGGTTTTCCGTGATTTATTTCCAGTTCGTTTGAGATGGTGTTTGTAACCAAAGCCTTACAAAAGGTTTTTAAACACAGTAAATAGCTTTGGTATTAATGAAATTTGCATCATGGTTATTATGAGTTCTCATTAGAATACTCTCTTTTATGTTATTTACTTGGAGGATGTATGTTGGCTATGAATTACAAAGGTTGCATTTATTAAATTAATATCTCACCTCTATAATAGCACTTTTTCTGGGTATATATTGATACATGCTTTTCACTGCATATGTAAATCTCATGTAACCATTGCCAGAGTTTCAGAAAAGCTAACAACTGAACACACAGCTTCTTTGTGTTTCTCAAGCTTGCTGTTAGAACAATGCTGGCATAAGGATTTGACTTATTACAGATATGACTCTACCATCTCAATAATGGAATCTTTTGGATGTGTTTGGAATATTTTGTGGTGAATTCTTTTTTTAAGTATCTCTTTCTCTCTAGGACTTGGTGTTTGCTGTACTTGTTATTGATTAGTACTTTAAATTCTTAGCAACTGTCACTATATTGATATCATGTAGGTCTGTTTACTGTTTAGTACTTCTGATGATTTTCTGTATAAAATCATTTTGAGAATTGGTTTATCTGCCTCTCCATTTACTGTGCTAACCTGAAAATGTACAAGTTGGAAATCAGATCATTGTAGGGTTCATGAATTGCCTTTTTAATAAATTTTTAAAGCTATGATAGTTATATTTATTAAAGTTGATATTAATTCTAAAGTCTGGATTTGCTTTTTTTCAGCATGTTTGAATGTCTGAAGCAAAATTGCTGAAAAATTCATTATTGCTTTAGCAGCCATAGTACTGCTGTGCAGTTGTGGCCGCTGGGAATAATCGTCTTAACTCTCGGGTATTGAGGGGGTTGGTGGTAAGAGGCTTTTTTTTTTTTTTTTTTTGCCAAATGATTTGATAAAATATTTTAATTCTGAGAAATGTTTTGGAAAAGGTAGGGTCATTGTTGAAGAATTATGAGTCTTCATTTCTTTTTTCTTTTTAATGTAAAACTATTTCACATTCAGTATTGTATTTGCATCTCATTTTCCTGATAGATTTCTGTTTTGATTTTCTGCTGACAGGTCACATTTAGGGCAGGCAAAACATAAGGGATATAGCCCTCCTGAGAGTAGAAAATCTAATTCTAAGGCACCCAAAGTGCAGTCTAATACTACTTCTGAACTGTCAAGGGGACACCTTTCTAAAAGGTAAATCTTCGCATTGCTTATACATTTTCAAGGTAGAATTATTTGCATTTGAATCATTGCATAATATTAAAACTGACCAAATTATCCCAAAATGTTATGATACATGTTTTTATCATTCTCTGAGAATAACTTTTAGAGTTAATAGTTTATCACCTTTGCAGTGATGTTGGTGCAGTAGGCCTTAGACTATGAATTTTTTCTTTGCTTACAGAGCTGTGAGGTTCCTGTTTTGCTTAGCAAACCATTGGAGGCATCTAAAATGCCGTTTTACCATTTTCCTTAGTTTTTATTGTCAGAGCCATCGTTCAGGTCAACGATTTCTTAAGATCTAATTGGTAGGAGTCTTGGGGAAGGAAGTGTAACTGAAGATTTGGTGGTGCTACAATATAAAAGTTTCATTTCGAAAGTACATATGTTAATGTGTTTTAAGGCATCAGTATTCCAGTTTCAACTGGCTCTGAACCGCTAAGTGTTCTTCTTCTTACAGTCTTAATTCTTGCTTGTGATTGTAGAAGTGTTCGTGTCAGTAATCTTTTGGCTAAAACATAACCTTTATTTTCTAGTCAAATATTTTACCACCCAAAGTCACACCTGCTATTTTTTTCTGCAATTTTGAACCATTTGAAAACCTATGTCTGTTTAGTACTGGGCTTTTAGATAAAAATCTTGCCCTTTTTTCCTTTAAAAAGCTCTTATTTCCGGAGACTTAAGAAGTTAATAAGTAACATTATATAATGAGTTTAGTGATGACAGGCTGATATTAACTCTTCTTTTATCTAACCTCTTAGAAGCTGCAGTTCATCATCTGCTGTCATAGTTCCACAACCAGAGGATCCAGACAGAGCCAATACTTCAGAAAGGCAAAAAACGGGGCAGGTGCCTAAGAAGGACAGTTCTCGAGGAGTGAAACGCAGTGCTAGTCCAGACTACAACAGGACCAATTCTCCTAGCTCTGCAAAAAAACCCAAAGCACTTCAGCATACTGAATCTCCCTCAGAAACGAATAAGCCACATAGTAAGTCAAAGAAGAGACATTTAGACCAGGAGCAACAACTGAAATCTGCACAGTCGCCGTCAACAAGCAAGGCTCATACCCGAAAGAGTGGGGCCACTGGTAGTTCACGGAGTCAGAAAAGAAAGAGGACAGAGAGTTCTTGTATAAAGAGTGGTTCTGTGTCTGAATCAACTGGTGCCGAAGAGAGGTCTGCAAAACCTACCAAGCTGGCTTCAAAATCAGCCGCCTCAGCCAAAGCTGGGTGTAGCACCATCACTGATTCTTCTTCTGCTGCGTCTACTTCCTCCTCGTCTTCTGCTGTAGCCTCGGCCTCCTCCACTGTACCACCAGGTGCCAGGGTAAAACAAGGAAAAGACCAGAACAAAGCCAGGCGTTCCCGTTCAGCATCCAGTCCCAGTCCCAGAAGAAGTAGCAGGGAAAAGGAACAGAGTAAAACTGGTGGCTCTTCAAAATTTGATTGGGCTGCTCGTTTCAGCCCTAAAGTTAGCCTTCCTAAAACAAAACTGTCTCTTCCAGGGTCTTCTAAGTCAGAGACATCAAAACCTGGACCTTCTGGATTACAGGCCAAATTAGCAAGTAAGTTTACGGGCAGATCCTTTTTTTTTTTTTTAAATTAAAGAATATTATTCTTGGTTTGTATAAAAGTGATTATGCTTTCAAAGTAGTCAGATTTTTTTCCATCTAAGGCTGTCTTGAGTTTATTACTATACTTGTATCTGTACATAAAAGTACATAATAATTGATATCACCTTTACTTTTAGGGAGATAGATATGGAATACTGTCTGTTATTACTAAACCATTATATTTTAGTATCTGTATCATTCTTTATCCTTGCAGCATCTGCTCTTTCAGTAATTTGCTAACATCAGGATGGGACAATAAAGTTGGGTATTCTGTATCAGAGATACAATATATTAGATATACAATTATCATTCTAGCTATGAAACAGAGTTGCTCTTGACCACCATGAGAGATCAGATTTTTTTTTGGTATTGTATACTTATAGATATTTAAGTTCTGGATGTATGTAAACACTGAGCAAAGTTATTAGAGTAACCACACTGGGATATAAATTAATCCTTTTCCCGTGTAATATTTTTTATGGCCTTTAAAGAGTTTAGTCTAAAGATGAATACCTCGTATGTTCTCCACACTGTGCTCTGGGTCCTGGATGAATGAACATTGCTCTGTGGAAGCTTACAGTGAAGTAGGAAGAACTAACGATATCAACGATTAATGAGAAGCTCATGGGAGAAACAGTGTGTTATGTGCCTTCCCTTATGAGCCAGCCTTGGTGATCTTGAGGCACATTTCTCCCTCTTTTTTCTAAAAGACTTCTTCAGGAGGCCAGACGTCCATCTCATTAGAACTGATCACTGTAATGCTAAAGTGTCTCCCCCCTCTCCTTCCTTTCTTCTCTTCATTTCATCTAAAATGGACACAGAGAAAAATACAACACTTATCCACAATTTTTAAAAGCACTGAGTTTTTGTAACATTTAATTGGGAAGCTTGTTTTGACCATCTTTTCTCCTTTTGAGTCCTCATAGAGGATTCAGATTTCACATCCACATTTTGGTAAGTCTAGAACTTTTTCTTGGTTATAGGAAGAAGGTGGCCAAGGTCCTAGGATAATATTGGTTTCTGGATTTGTTAGCTCTGTATGGTGTAACCCCCTACAGTCTGTAATTATTTTATGTTGATTCAGTATTAGCTAAACTCTGAGACTATTAATAGACCCTAAATAAAAATCTCAAGTTGAACCTGTACCGTAGGGTTATTGTGAGGGTAACATCTTTTATTCTTAGATTGTGGAAATTGGTTTTAGTTGGTATTTTAAATATGCAGTTAAGTTTATCAGTGTCAGCTTTTACACCTCATCTTCTCCCTGCTTTTTTATGAAGTAGAACTGAGACTTCTGCGTGTGCATGCGTGCGTGTGTCTCCTTTGTTGTAGCTGTGTGACCTCCATAGCCTGTGGACCAGGTTGACTTTAGAAGTAGTTCCATTGGGTTCACCCCTCCACTTTCTGCCTTCCAGTCTACCACACTTAAAGAGCTCTTCTCCTTTAACCCTTATTTCCGGGAGGGTCCCGGGGCCAGGTGATCGATTGCACTTGAGTTTCATGTGTTTGACTCTTCTCAGAGACCAGCTTTCTTTTCTTCTAGGGCCCGTTAACAAGGGTTTTAAAAGAAAGCTCGGCTGCACCAGTGGCTCATCAGTGGGGCTTCCTTGGTTGTAAGGGGAGCCCCGAACAAGGAGGCGCCAAGAGTTCTGACGCAGCCTCTGTGCCGTAATGACTCCAGTTCGTGTGTGCTAGTAAATGAGCCCTGCACACGGTCGCAGACTGACCTCGTGTTGTCAAAGTCATTTCCTAATTATTTTCCTCACTTTCACAAAATCTGTGTGTGTTCTTTTGTCACTAATGTCACTTTTCCATTTCCACTGCCACTATTCTAGTTCTAAGCTCTAATTATAGCCTGGGCTGTTGAAACAAGAAAAGGGAACCAAATTTGTCTTAACTTCTAATACGTGTCAGGTGTTTCACACAAGCACTTGCATTTAATTTTTAAAATAATGGTGCGTTAGGATAGTTACTAAGGAAATTTATTTCAAGGGGTGAAATAACTTGCCTGAGTAACATACGTCATAAGTGGCAGAGTTAGGATTTGAAGATGGGGTATGTGTGACTTTGAGCCTGTGCTTTCTTTACTATGCCACTTAATTTTTTATCCTTACCGGTTCTCTGTGTTTTACTGTTGTAATATACTTGAGTCATTTAGAGATGTTAAAACCCTAGGTTAGATGAAATTTTATTTGATCCCACCTTTTTTGGTATAGATTCATTTTTAGGGATGAATAATACCCTGAATGCAGGGGTCCATATCGTATCATTAGTTACGTATTTGCTTCCTCTCAAACAAGTGAAAAGCATTTCAAAACAAAATAGTAGTAAATATTTAATGTTGTTACAAGTACCTGGTTAACTTTTCTAAATACATGAATTGTCTCATTTACTCCTCAACATCCAGGTATTATCATTTCCATATCTCACATAAGGAGTCAGGGTTATTGGTCAAGTTACTTGTCCAAGGTCATGTAGCTAAGAAGGGATGGAGCCACGAGTCCAGCCCAGGGGATCTGATAGCAGAGATCAGTCTCGAGACTAGGATGCATAAGCAAGCAGATTGGGAGGAGCTAAATCTTCAGAGGCTCCTTGTACTCAAACAGGGCAGGGTGAGTTGTAGTCATGATTAAATGTGACACTTTAGGAGGAAGCTTATGTAAGAAGCAAGACTGCAGTAGAAATGGCAGTACTTGATAATTTTGCTTAAGAGTGTAGAGGCAAATGAGGAATCTTATGATAATCTCTGGTTTCAAGTAACAGTATTTTGGGGAGAGAACTCTTAAAAGAGAGCTAAAAATCTGCATTTGAATCCTAGTTTTGCCATTTATCAGTTGGTGACAGTGGGGACGTCTGTAACCTTTCCTTGTAAAATGGGCATAGTAACTGCGGAATAAATGAGCATGTGAGGAGACTTAAGATAGTGCTTAGCACACACAATATGTAACAAGACTTAAGGATGCACGACTAAAGTTGAACATTTTAAGGCAGAAAATAATCTGGAGAATATTCAGAGTGGCCCTTTGAGAATGAATCCTAGCCATTTATCAGTTTCTTAATACCAGTTCTCTTATTTGGAAAATGATTGTATTCATTTGAAAAGCATAAATGAGAGAATGTGTATGAAAATAACTTTATAAAATTAAAGTGTCATGTAAGTATATAATGGTGTTTTTGAGAGTTGTAGTCTTAATATTTGAATGACTTTTATATGCATCAAGGATTTGTTTGTTTTTTACATTGATCCAGAGGACAGAGTTCAATTCAGTGAATAGAAATTGAAAAGTAGGTTTCTGATTAACATAAATCTCGGGGGGGGGGGATCTATAAATTATCTAAAAACTTCGTCCATTTTTTATGTGAGATAGGGTAGGTCCCCCCTCCCCCAGCCCCATGTCCTTTGTTTTTTTCCAACTTTTAAAAATCAGTGACCCTGCTAATTAGAATGTGATGTGTTTATTCAGGTAAAGGGTAATTTTAGAATACAATTGGGCAGTAAAACTTAATGTTAAAGGGAGTTTTTTTTGAAATTGTACGAATAGCAGTCTTCTAAGATGCTTTGTGATAGACCATTCCCCGTGGCCAGACATTACTCCAGGAGATTCAGGATGTACATTAACATATTGAAAGCTCTGAAAAGTCTTGCAGTAACTTTTGCTTAACCCAGTATTGATCACCTGTTATTACTTTGTGAGACAGCAGCGGTCCATGGAATATACTTTGGGAAATGATAAAATGCATTTAATCAGGACACTTAAGCAGGAAGGCCTTTCACAGTGTGCTGCTCTGGCAAATGTTTATAGGCTGATGAACAAGTTCCTGGTTAGGAATTAGGGCTGGCATGAGAGTTAGTGAAACAGCTTCTTTAGCAATGGGCTTCATGAAACGTTGCTGCTTGCCAGCTGCAACTGATCAAAATAGCTCTGGGCTAGAGATCACCCTGTATCAGTTGGTAGACGTCTTGAGAGTACCCCAGAAAGGATAGTGTTAATTTGTAATATACATTAGGATATTATTACAGCTATGTGTTGTTTAACAGACATTCTTACAAAGTTATGTAGCAAACTATAATACCAGTAGCTTAATGTAATGATACAAATGATTTTCAAAAAAGTATTTTTATAATTAGCTTGGCTTCAAAGTATATTTTGCCAGTCTGTGTTCTTTTTAATGTAAGCTAATTTTAAAATACTGTGACTATTGCAAAGTATGCTGTATCTGGATAGTGGAAAGAGATAACATAGAAATGTAAGATACAGTCTGTAACCCAAATCTGGGTAATTATGAGATTTCATTTTTTGGTAAAGATTATACACAACAAAACATACACCAAATCAACAATTTCTACATATTACATTGGTTACATTCTTCAAGTTGTGCCACCTTTCTCGATATCCTTTTCCAAATTATTTCACTATCATTAACAGAAACTCACTGCCCCCTAAGCTTCTCATCTAACCTTTTGAGTTGCTGTTGTCCATTTGATTACATATAGATAATTGTTTAAAAGAACACAGAGCTCAAGGCACACGTCCTTTTCTGTTTAAGCTAAACTGTATTTGATTTAAAGATAACTTTAGGGTATCGTTTTGGCTTAAGGTTTAAAGATTTCCTCAGGGCATTAGTTTAAGTAGTGGGGGTGGTCATTCAGCTTCCGTGGCTCGAGAAATTCTGGGTTCCATGAGAATTTGAAGTTCTGTTCCATATTTTTTCCTCCTTTGATCAGAATTCTTCTGTAGTATCTTTGATCAAAATATACAGTAATGGTAACTGGGTACTATCTGGGTCTTTTAGTATCACAGCAAAGGAGGCAGTTATTCAAGTAAGCAATTAGACATGCATTCCAGTTCTGCCTCCATTTCCTAACCCTTCTTCTTCCTCTGCTGCTCCAGGAGAGTAGAGACCAATTACTGTACTTTGGATGACCACTAGCAATTTTTTAAGACCCCAGG